CATGACGGTCAATGATCCTAAGCAGACGCTACAACAGATATGCTATGGACACCATCTGCAATTTACTGCTAATTGCTTAGATGCTTACTGTGCCTTCACATTGAATATGTCATTTGGGATTTTTTATCTGATATTGTATTCATTTTCAAAACCCAGATAACTGCTGAGGCAGTGCTCTTTCCGAGTGTATATGGAAATAGCCATTACCACATTTGCAAATACCTTAAATTAACAAGGCTAGAGAGAGTTTTTTCACTCTCTTCTTTCCTGATCATATTTGCAGATATAATAAATTTACTTTTGCTCAACCTAAGGGGATAGTTCACCCAAAATAACAATTTGGTCATCATTTAGATACCAACATGCTTTTTAAAATCTGATTTATTTACAGCAGAGATGCCCAAACTAGGGCCCACAGGCCAAAGTTGGCCAGGTGACCTGCAATGCAATATACGACAGAGGGGGAAAATGCCACTGATGCTAGGCCTATCGCGGTAGTTACTATATTGACTTATCGCACAAAATATGGACATGACCATGATAGGTTTTGGTGACGCAGTATTGCCCGTTGTGTTTACAATGCGTGTTTGTTCAGATAAAAATAAATAAATCAAAAACTTTATAGATATCCATCTGCTCTCTATCTGTGTCTGAGGTAGAGGCGGGACTCAGGCAGCTCCTCACACACACACAGCAGACACAACCTGAGTCCCAAATGATGCACTATACACTATGCACTAATGCACTATGTACTTATGCACTATGTTCTCAACCATGTAGAGTATGAATTATATAAGGTTATTTTGTCATTCATAATCAGAGCCTGATAGCCCCTCCACCTTCGCTACGTAATTAAAGCTTCGACAGTTGAGTGCATGAAGTGTCCAACATTCCACACTTAGTTTTTGGATTATTTAAGTGCATCATCTGGGTATTTTGGGAATTTTCAGTGTGAACGCACTACTCGCACTGTTTATACTACAAAACGTCATAGAATAGTGCATAAGTATACGATTTGGGATGCACCTAGAGACAGTGGAATGGAAGTGTGTGCGATTACCTGAGTCTGTCCTTCTTCAGGTCAAGTCATATTAGTGAAACCGTTTGCCATCAGTTGTTAGAAGATGAAAGCAATATCTTTGTCATAGCATCCTTTCAGCGTTTAAGGGGATTTCCCACGACTGGCCTCAGCGCTGTTCAATGCATTGAATCAATGGCATTGTTCTCTATGAAATGAAACATCAGCTTCAGCATTACCCAGATAATGCGTTGATTGTCGAAGTGGCTTTCAAAGTTAAATTAATTTCAACACCATGTTTCATTCATGAATGAATCTGTGTTTTTATGCATATTAGTTGAATGAACGGACCGGTTTAACGATGACTTCTCATAAAGACCTCATAAAGTTCCTAGTGTGGAAGATTTTTATTTGTCAAACTATGAATTGTTCAAGTATAATCATTGTGAATATAACCATTTATATATCAAGTTATTTTACTATTATTATCATGTATTTGCCTGTGTGCAGACAGGCCTGCATAGGAATGGTATAGAAGTCTGTATGAGGGGCAGACACATGGTGTGGCTGCATGTCCTGTTTTGACATTTGACAAAATATATGATGGGGCCTTTACTATCACGGAACATAAAATGAAGGCTTCCTGTCTGCATCTTGGTAGCAGACTGGAAACACAGCCAAAAAAGGTAAACCATAACAAATATGTATGAAATATATTGAACACGCCTATAGGAAAAACTGTATAAAAGACTGTCCAGACACAGACTCGGGAGATTTTCTGCAGATTATCTCTAGACTGCATTATCTCTGATAATAAAAGTCTATTTTTCTGGCATCAAAACCTCAAGACTTCAATAGTGATTCTTCATAGAAAAGGCAGGAACCACCAAAGAAGCCGCCTTCTACTCGTGTAACAATGTAACTGCAATGACTGACAGTCCTGGTGCTGATACTGAAATATCAATACTTTTGGAAAGCCTCTTTATATAGCATAATAATAATGCGTTAATATCGATATTGATCCACTCAAAATCACTGTCAGCGAAATTTCCTGATGAAATTCCTGTGCAAACAGGCACAAGTGATATTACTTCTGTTTGGCAGTACCTTCCTCTGTGAACAAACTTTCAGTCTTATGAACTTGAACAAGTGTAAAATGTGAAGAAAACTAACTGACTATTACCCACATAATATTCTGACTCTGTCAGTAATTCAGCTGCAGCTCAATTTGGAAAATATTTGAAAAATAAGGACCGGCTTCATGTCTCACATTAGAGGTCACTGATTTTGCAAGCATATGGCTGTATTGCTTTTATCTTGAATAGCTGTTTTAGGCATTGAACTACAGTATATTGTACTATAAATGGGATTGTTTTCAGTGTACTATAAGTTTAATTGAACTATAAAACTTTGAAAATAAAATTGCATTAGTTAAGCAGATTACAGAGTATGTTTTCTTTTTATGTATTCATTTTTAAATATTATGAACTCATAAATAATGGGAACCATGGAAAATTTAACTTTAATATAATATACTGTAGTTTGGTATAATGCAGATCTTATTTTTGGCCCACAGCACTCAGTCAAGTTAGATTTTTGGCCCTTCATAAGAAAAAGTTTGGGCACCTCTGATTTACAGTATTGATTGATTGATTGAAAAGCTGCTCTTATCTCATACAATGATGGTGAATGATATTAGCAGTCTTCAGAAATAAATAAATAACTCCCCTCTCTCTTGGTTGTCCATCGAAGCCGATGACGACGTCCACGCCTTTATCGGTGAGATCTTTGATGGCTAAACAGTCCTATCCTGGACCCACACACTCGATTACAGGTGGGGCATATGTATGTAATGGTAGTAGTAATGGCAGTGGTGGCAGCCATGGCTGTATTTCTCCTGGCTCGCTTCTGCTGTCTTCTGATTGTCCTCTCCATCTCCAGCGTATGAACCCCATCTCTACACAGCTTTTGCCAGATGGTACGGTCAGCAGCAACATCCTCCAGGTCCTCGGGTCTGATCTTACACTTCTTCAAGATGTTCTTCATCTGATCCTTATATCGCTTCTTCGGCCCCCCAGCTGAACGTCGACCATGATGTAGCTGGCCGTATAGCACTCTGCGGGGCAGTCGACATGGGGGCATCCTTATCATGTGCCCCAACCACTGCAGCTGGCGCTGGGTGATCATGGCCTCAATACTTCTACAGTTGGTCTTTTTAAGTATTTCAGTGTGAGGCACACGATCACGCCAGGTAACTCCCAGAATGCGCTGAAGGCAGCTTATATGGAAGTGCTCTAGGGACCTGATGTGACGGCTGTAGGTTACCCAAGCTTCACAGCTATAGAGCAGGGTAGTGACACAGACTGCTTGGTATATGGCGACCTTTGTGGAGGGATGAAGATTCTTGTTATGAAAGACTCTACACCGAAGTCTCCCAAAGGCAACTGATGCCTGTTTAATGCGTCTCCGGATTTCGTTGTCGATGCCACAGTCCTCAGCGAGAATACTCCCCAGATATTTAAAAGATGGCACTACTGACAGCTGTTCATCCCCAACAGTGAAGGCAGGAAGTGTGGGTGGGACATTGGTACTCCATTGGCAAACCACTTCTGTCTTGGTGGTGTTGACAGTGAGCCCCATCCTGCCGTACGCCCTAACCGCCACAGCAAGGACAGTTTGAAGGTCCTCTGGAGTATGGGCCACAAAAGCACAGTCATCTGCATACTGCAGCTCCAGGACCCGCTCTCTACAGAGTTTTTTGGTTGCGTGTAGCCTCCTAATATTAAAGAGGTTGCCGTCTAATCTGAAGTCTACTGCTATGCCACTGGTATTTTCAATCTCATTGTGGAGAAGCTTGGTGACACACAGGAGGAAGATGTTAAAGAGCACTGGTGCTAGCACACACCCCTGCCTCACCCCTGTGCGCACAAGGAAGGGCTCGGACTCTTGTCCGCCTATGGACACCCGAGCAGTCATCCCATCATGGAACTGGCGGAGGATGTTAACAAATTTATTGGGACAGCCAAAACTGAGGAGTACATCCCATAAGAGCTCTCTCTGCACGGTGTCGAATGCTTTTGAGAGATCGACAAAGGCCATAAACATGTCCTGATATTGCTCCCGGCACTTTTCTTGAAGCTGCCGGGCTGTGAAAATCATGTAGATCGTGCTCCTATTCTTCCTAAATCCACACTGGGATTCAGGCAGCATTGACTCAGTGATGTTGTTAATGAGTCTATGAAGCATCACCTTGGCCAGGACCTTACCACCCACAGAAAGGAGTGATAAGCCCCTACTATTGCCGCAGATGGCCCTGTCACCCTTGTTCTTATAGATAACAGCAATATTTGCATCTCTCCATTGCTGTGGGATGTTCTCATCAGTCCAGGCCTTGGTGATGTACCGGTAGAGGGTGCGCATACATATGTACCCCCCCTCCTTCAGTAGCTCAGCAGGGATATTATCAGCGCCAGGGGACTTGTTGTTCTTAAGGGAATGGACAGATGATAGAACCTCCTGAAAGGTTGGTGGAAGGCTGAGATCGTGGATGGGAGGAAGTTTTGGCAGTTCGTCCAGAATGGTGGAGTCTGCACCAGAATCCTGATTAAGCAGGGTGTCAAAATGTTCAGCCCACCTCAACAGGATACTATTTTGGTCCTTCAGAAGTGTTAGACCATCTGCTGTTTTCAGGGAAGTGACGCAGCGATTTGTTGGTCCGTAGATGGTTTTGACAGCATTATAGAAGTTATACATGTCATTTTTATTGGCAAAAGACTGGATTTCATATGCCTTTTCAGTCCACCATTCATTCTGCATGGCCCGTATTTCCCTTTGCACGTTCCCCCGGATTGCCTGCAAATGCTGTCTGGTCTTGGTGGATGAAGGGTTTTCTAAAGTTGCCCGGTGTGCTATGTGCATATCCTTAAGCAAGTTGTGGATGGTGTCTGAGTTATCGTCAAACCAATCTTGGTGGTTCCTGCTCTTATAACCGATGGATTTGGCTGCTGCATCGTAGAGCACAGAGCACTTTCATATGGAGTTTGGCCACAATCATACGATGGTCTGTCCAGCACTCTGCACCTCTCATGGCGCGAGTGATGAGAAGATCCTTGATGTCACTACACCGCACAATGATAAAATCAATCATGTGCCAGTGTTTAGAACGAGGGTGCATCCACGAGGTCTTATACTTTGCCTTCTGCTGGAAGATGGTATTGGTTATGGTAAGGTTATGCTCAGAGCAAAGAGTCAATAATCTCATGTCATTTGCATTCACCCTACCAATGCCATGCCTGCCTAGTACTCCACTCCATATTCTGTTGTTTTGTCCGACCCTAGCATTGAAATCCCCAAGCAAGAGGATCTTGTCACTCTTAGGGATCCGGCAAAGAGCTTCATCCAGTGCCTGATAAAAGCATTCCTTGGCCTCATTCTCAGATGGTAAAGTTGGTGCATAGGCACTGAGAAGTGTGGCATAACGCTTTTTTGCCAGGGGGATACGGAGGGTCATTAGCCTTTCACTAATGCCAACAGGTGTTTCTGTGAGACTTGGTAGAATGGTATTCTTGATGGCAAATCCTACTCCATAGAGATGTTGTCCACCTGGAGGGAAACCTTTCCAGAAGAAGGTGTAACCCGTCCCTTCCTCTGATAGAGAACCTTCATCCAGAAGACTGGTCTCACTCAGGGCTGCAATATCGATGTTGTAACGGCTCAACTCAGCAGCGATCAGGGCTGTTCTCCGGTGAGGTCTATCAGAGGTACCATGCGAGTCCAGGAGAGTCCTTAAATTCCATGTTGCCAGTTTTACACTGTATTGTTTCTTATTTTTCTTATTTCGACTGCAGTAGTGGAATAACCCGACAGGCGCGGTAACCTATCCAGGTAAGTGTTTGAATGGGCAATTTTTAGGCCACCTTTTCTAGGCCCTTCCGCAATTGAGGTGAGCAGTGCGGTCCCTAAATAGGGCTGCTCCGTTGCACAGGGGTCTGCGGAAACAGCTGCCACTCAAACCCAGTCGATAGCGACCAAATACCCTGTGTCGCTGCTGTGCAGAGTTCTGACTAGGAGCTCCCAGTCTATTCATACCTGCTCCCGTTGCCAGATGCCCCATCGCCGTCAGACTTTAACCATATGTGAGGTCCAGATATTATCACCGTGGTCAGAGGTGGAAACCTGCGCAAGGAGAGTTTTAAAGTGCCAAAGGGGTGCGCCATCCCCAGTAGCACTATCTTCACCATGATTAGGTAAATCCCGGTGGCAAGGGTGGTCCCAGGACAACCGGTCCCCATCTTGGCTGCAGGAGGTTGCCGGGTCCTTCATCTGTTAAGGCCCGCCTATTGTGCACCTCCAGCGCATTGCTTTTCTGTCAGGGTGTGCTCCCTTAGCCTTGTCTCAATAGACTTACCACAAGGCAGTGGGGCTATTTGCCCATAGCTGGGACAGTGGTTGACGGATGGCAGGACATGTCCACACAATGGTGGGCCTGCACATCACGTCTCTGGGGCCCACTGCTGCTCCGAGATCCCCTGTAGTTTAGCCTGGGACCGTATGATACCCAGTTTCCATGTGTGGCCGCAAGGAGGCACTACAGGAGTCTTGGTGGTGGAGAGGCTCTGTACTGGCAGGAGGAGACTTACACACTCGGCTCCTCTTTTCACCCACTATCAAGTAGGCTAGCCAGCGGCAGCAGCTGTAAGCAGAGAGTAGCAGGCAGAGAGCACAGAAAGCGCAGCACGACATGCAACATGCAGCATGCACTAACATGCACTAACTACCAGCGTCACTGCACTACTGCACTAGACGCTTCACACACACCCTGTGTGGTTGGAGTCTCGGTACCGGCAGGGATTGTAGGTGGGGGGAGTGAATGACCAGCACTCTCTTCCACCATCAATGCTGAGGTGAGGACCCTTGAGCAAGGCACCGAACCCCAAGCTGCTCCCCGGGCACCGCAGCAAAAAATGTCTGCCCATTGCTCCGGGTGTGTGTTCACGGTGTGCGTGTGTTTGTTCACTACTCACTGCTGTGTGTGTGTGCACTTGGATGGGTTAAATGCAGAGCACAAATTCCGAGTATGGGACACCATACTTGGCCACACGTTATGTCACTTTTCATTTTTTCACTTTAAATGACATTTCGTCACCTTAAAATTATAAGGTCTATCTGACATTTTTGTCAAAATTGAGTTATTCACATACTCTTATTCTGTGACACCTTATTTACATTATGTGATGTTTTTTTAAACATTGTGTACATTTTAGGACTTTTATTTAGAAAACAAAAAGGTTCTACCTACAAAGTCGAACTCTAACTTAGTTTATAAGGTTCTATCTGTGAGCCAATCAGCACTTCGAATGCACACAAGAGGACCAATCAGGATACACTTTTTTGTCATGTCACCGGACTGCTCCGTGACAGCAGGAAAGATTAGATGTGAAATATTTTAATTGTAAAATATTTTTAGTTATATATAGTCAGTGAAATATTTTCAATTTTTATTATCCCTTAAATGCATACCTCGGGTCTTTAGAGACCCGGGACGTCATTGACTACCCTCCCCCTCATTAATTTCTTAAAGGGGACATAACACACAATTCCCTATGTCGGTCATTATGAGTTATGTCGTGACAACATTAGGGGTCTAACTTGGGAGCCCAATCATCTCTGAGTTAAAGAGAAAAAGCCAATGAAAATTGGCTAGTGGATTTTGCATGCTGAGCCACTCCCTGTGCACACGAGTATATAAGGTGACAGCGTGCATTCTCTCATTCGGCAGTGCAAAAGCATACTGAGGCCAGCCAACACATCCTGTTCCGATGTGATACTACAGCTGCCACTGTTCCGTCGCAGGCTGTGTCTCAGCCTGCTCATCGCTGTGGGTGCCCTCCTGCATCCTCCACAATGGCTCCGCCCCGTGCTGAGACACCGTCAAGGCCAGCACGTCGAGCCCCACGCAGGAGAGCGGCGCCCCCTGTGTCGCACCCGGCCACTAAGTCCTCCAAGAAGATGACGAAGTGGCCCTGACATGGGCAACCTGGAGATGTGGGAGACTGCTCTTCGGGAGGTGGTGAGGACAGCGCCACTCCTTCCCCCGGAGGAGGGCTGGGCGGAGAATCTGTTTTTCCCTTTTCTTTTTGTTCCGAAGCTGGCTCAATGACCAGTGTTGACCACATTTTCAATAAAAGAGCAATTTTTCTTTTCCTCCGGGTTGCAAGGCTCGTGGGTTGACAGTGAGCAACGCACCGCTTCCTCACCCTCACCCACGACGCTACCTATCGCCAGTAGTCAGCAGAACGCGGTTCGGAGACGCAACGCCTCTCCACACGTCTCTGGCCAGTCCCTCCGGGGACACGAGTTTTGCTGTGATGACTCAGAACGCGATGCCTTCTGGGCCACCCAGCACAACTCCCCATCGCTGTACCACTGCAGGTGTGTCGACTGTCCCATTGGTGCCACTCGTGCGGAGTTTGGGAGCGTGCCTTGCGCTGCCCAAGCCGTCCTGCTGCCTCATTCGGACAGTTCGACTCGGCTACGCGGTTCAGTTCGCCAGGCGACCTCCCAAGTTCAACGGCATTCTCGAGACTTTGGTGGCAGTCCGAGACGCCTCTGTCTTGCGCGAGGAGATTGCTGTCCTGTTGGCGAAGGATGCAATCGAGCCAGTCCCTCCAGCTGAGATGAGGAAGGAGTTTTACAGCCCTTACTTCATCGTACCCAAGAAAAGCGGTGGTCTTCGACCTATCTTGGATCTGCGAGTTTTGAATCGGGCCCTTCACAAGCTCGAGATGAGGAAGGGGTTTTACAGCCCTTACTTCATCGTACCAAAGAAAAGTGGTGGCCTTCGACCTATCTTGGATCTGCGAGTCTTGAATCAGGCCCTTCACAAGCTCCCTTTCAAGATATTGACACAGAAATGTATTATCAAATGCGTTCAAGCCCAGGATTGGTTTGCAGCGATCGACCTGAAGGACGCATACTTTCATGTCTTGATCCTTCCTCGTCACAGACCGTTCCTACGGTTTGCGTTGGAAGGTCGGGCATGGCAGTACAAGGTCCTCCCCTACGGGCACTCCCTGTCAGCCTTGGCATTGCTGTGTCCCGTAAGAGCATTACGCATATACGTGGACCGCACCCAGAGCTTCAGAAGCTCTGAGCAGCTCCTTGTCTGCTTTGGAGGTCAGCAGAAAGGGAAGGCTGTCTCCAAGCAGCACTGGATAGTGGATGCCATCGTCTTGGTGTACCAATCCCAAGGCGAGCCGTTCCCCCTGGGGGTGAGAGCCCACTCCACTTGAAATGTTGCCTCCTCCTTGGCGTTGGCGCATGGCGCCTCTCTGGCAGACATCTGTCGAGCTGCGGGCTGGGCGACACCTAACACCTTTGCCAGGATTTACAACCTTCGTGTGGAGCCGGTTTCTTCCCATGTGTTGTGTAATAGGTAATTGGCGGGAAGAACTGGCTCAGTGTCACGCTTGCAGCGCCATTCCACCTCACAAGGGGATGCGAGCACCTTTCTTCTCCCAGTAGAGTTCCCCGGTTGGCGAACCCTAGTCGAGCATCCTCCAGCACCCCCGGCAGTCAGACTTGGCGGAGCAGTACTGGTGCCCAGTACTGGTGTTAGCATGCCCGGAGTCTCGGTCAGCCCCTTTACTGAGCTAGGTGTCCATATGGCTTGATTCCCTACGGGTAATTCCATATTCATATTCTTCCACGGTAAGGTTTCCCTCTCGGTAAATCCGTGTCTTCCCATGACAGACCCACTCTGTCAGTCTCTTCTGGCAGTTTTTCCATCCCTACTCTAAGGTAGGACCTGCCTCAGAAACCCATTCCATATGTAGTACTGCCCCCTGGATCAGTCCATATCAGTATCTCCACATGTCACCTCCCTATGGGTAGGATGTGGTCTCTGTAGCGACCTTTTCCTTAAGGCTCGCTTCCCCATCGTTCTGCCAGGCTAAAGAACAAATAGGGAAGCAATCTTGAAGCAATCTTTCACTGAAGGTTGAAAGCATGGCCTTGAAAGCACAGCAGCATGGCCTTCTCCAGCAGCGATGTACTCACCGTTGGTTCCCTTCAGTACCAAGGTCAGTGAATTTGTGCTTGGGCTTTGGGAAGGTTACGACCTTAGTGTAGCTTTTGTCTTGACACACTACGGCTTGTCAACATTTGCAGCACCACAGGGTTGTGAAGGTGTTCAGGTTGTGGCGTTTTCCATAGACTCCTAATGTCATCACGACATAACTCGTAGTGACCGACAGATAGGGAACGTCTCG